TGACACGGATCGTTCTCAGGAAATCTAGATGGAAATCGTAGGACTTTTGCTAAACGAAACGATGGTAAATAATCGAAATAGATCGTGTATTGCCAGAGGCCAACGAATTGTATCGTTACATTTTTCTTCAATTCATAAAGTTCGAACCGAACTGTATACGGTTGGTTTTTGATAATATTTGTGCGATTAAAATAACGTCTTTGTTTATGATTTAAATATTTTTCTGAACGTGAATAAACGAGAAAAAATCTCTCTTTTATTATATAGTCGAACCTTTCACTGTTTAGTTTTATACGAAAGCTATAATGATCCACAACTTCATCTTCAAAAAGTAATACAGACAAAACCTGTAAGACCACTGTATCGCATTCTATGTTCAAGTAAGGACTATTGGTATAGTTCAAATGAGTAACGATGGTTAGACGATCACTATAAAATTCACAGTATTTGCCATAATATGAAGGTGGACAGAAACAAACTAGATCTTTATTGTGTAGCATAAGAACAGATAATCCACGATTGCAATGATAAGCAATTTGAAATTTATTGAATGAATCATTTGATGATTTTAGAGAAAAATGACTTTCACTATGTTTCATCTGTCGGACAGTAGTATCGTCTTGCATAGTTCGGGGATTTAATGTTGGCGGAAAATCGGAAATCCGAATTATTCTATCGGAACTATGCACGTCTGCACGCCTCGAATACCGATAGTGTACTAAATCCATTGAATTTAACTCTACCTCATCGCCGTGTAAAGCGCATGTATAATCATCTTCACCATATTCGCAGTCTTTATGACCATTACAGCGTGCTGCTTTTATACATGTTCCGTTCAAACAAACAACATCTAATGGATCATAACCACAGTAACTATTATTTGTTTTTGCTATTTCTGGTATTCGATCCGTTAAACAAACATATTCGTCTTCGTCATTGTCGCACGTCTGCAGTCCGTTACACATATTAATAATTAGAATATCCTTATTGGTAGTTTGGCATAAAAAGGACAATCCAAGTACTTCACCAGCTGGATACATATGGATCGTCAATTTTTCATCTTTACCTCCGAAACATTGTATAATGCCATCGCCAAGTTGTGAAAGTGGTATGCATGGTCTATGAAGACTAAAATTCCATAATTCCTGGAAAATACTAATGTTTCTTAGGCAAGGATATTCTGTTTGATAATCACATAACTGGGAAAGTGGTTGAGATTTGTAGAGTTCTCTACAACGTTCTTTAAGTCTTTTAAGTTTTCTCAAATTTACTAAAGGTATATTATGAGTTGATAGTTCATTGATAAGAAAAATCCCTTCTTCATCACTACCATCACTACAATCCCAAATACCTAGTTTAAAAGAGATCGAAATGAATAAAAATAGCTACGTAATCTTCAGAAAATCAACTTACCATCACAAATCCATTCAGGATTGATACACTGACCCGTTTTTGGACATTGAAACTCGTCTGTTGTACATATCCATAGTTGGCAGTACTCAGCTGATTCATCAGTTGTTGATAAATCCCAAAAGGTATCACAATACTGGTGATGAGGAAGACTTCTACCATAACTCTTCGTTTTTATCGATTGTATAAATGACTCTATCTCTTGTTTAGTATTATTCTTTGTTGTCATATGTATGTAATCTCGAAATATTTTACATTGATCATCGTTTTCAGTCGAACACGCTTCAATTTCAATAGGTACATTTGAACCAAAGATAAATTCATCATAATAATTGGAACAATCAACAAAGGCTGTACCTACATATTGTGGTACAAGACACATGGGTTGCTCATCTAGAGAACATTGCAACCGATACTTGCGTATATTAGCACAGGATTCTCGGTATTCTGGTCTATTTTCATCTAGATTATGATAACAATGATCAATACCGTCATTAATACGATAACTAGACAGGCATAGTGGATCTTTAGGACATATATCGTAAAAACTGTAAGATTTGTTTGTATCTAATGTTCGAGTTAATCCACTCCAACATAGTTCATCAAATTTTGGTGCATCTTTGGACTTGTTTTGATAAATATTTTGATTATTACAAAATAAAGAATCTAATGCGCTGCGATACATAGCAACAATAAAAAACTGATCATTATACGTCAAAATACTTTCTATCTCTAATGGTAAATCAATTTCTTGATTTAAAGTAACCGCTTGATAACCACGACATTTAATACTCCCTTTCACTTTGTAAATCGATGGCGCATCTCTTTTAAATGCAAACGTGCCTACATGATAATAAGTTGACAAATAAGGACGATAGAGACCATACGGCGGATATTCAATAGGATCTGAACATTGTTCCTCCATTTGCTCGTCACTATCTCCAAATTCGCATAGTTCATCTAATGGGCAATCGCAGTCTACTTTATCGATGCCTACTAATTTACATTTTAGCCATAAAAGACATGTATCATTAACCATTGTCGCAGCTAATTCTAATTTAGTCTTTTTCTGCTCCAAAAAGTCCCAACATAAACCTTCTTCTATTGTCCATAGATTTTCATTAGCACATACTTCACATGCATAATTGCAATCTCTCAGATTTTCACATTGAGCATTACCTTCATAGAAAAATTGATAGGAAAATCGCTGGAGCAGTGGTATACATTGCCCATCCCCGCAAGACCAACTTGTTGGTGGGCATAAGCGTTCATCACAATCGAAACTCCAGAATAAATTTAAACAAAAATTATTGTGCGTATCTCGTTCGTCACTATGATCCATACATTCATGCGTTGATCGGATCCACCCTAAGATAAAACAGTTATATTTTAATCAACTAAAAATGAAGAAACATTACCGTCCATCCAGTATTCCTCTGGAATGCAATGACCATTATCACAACGAAATTCATCATCTTTGCATTCATTAAATTCTAATAAATCACAATTTTCTTCATCAATACTATCAATACAGTTCGAAATTCCATCACAAATATTTCTCCAGTCCAAACACAATAATCCATAATTACATTCTAATGTTGTATAACACAGAATTTTGCCATATATCTGACTACTGTATTTATCTTTTGCTTTCAATTCAAATTGTGTTGTAATGCTTTCATTAAACGATTGACTACCGAAAAAAAGTTGATACTCACAAAATTTGCCAAAAATAGACGAATCCGAACAATTACAAATGATACTATCGTCGTTATTATCGAAAGATGAATTATTCAACAGATATGCCGCATATTCATCGGCTTGTTCGATACTTGAAGTCAACTGCAAGACTTCTTGTGAGGTAATGTTCCATTTTTGTAAATTAGCATATGTAATTTCTTTGCCACTCGAAAAACATCTTTGTTGTTGTCGATTTAGTTCTATGACTTCTCCAGGTCGACGACAATACATAACCGTCGCGTCATTCTCGTTGTAGATACAATCATAGAATTCAAGTGATGAACTATCTTCAGTATTATAGAGTTGTACGAATGATTGAGAACCATGAAGCAATTGTAAAATTACCACTAGGTTTAGAAAAATATGGTTATTTTTCATTAAAACTCTTTTCAATCGATCCATATTCAAATGAAGTCTACTATGAAAATCTATCGACTGACTGGTTACTTTATCTTTTTGACACGATGAATTTTTTTTTATTATTAGACAACTGTTTTATCAATATCGTTTTTTTTTAATATATCTCTAGAATGACATTGCACAGATGGGAATAAATTTAATTCTACTATGTTGACTAT